TATATATATATATATATATATATATATATATATATATATAAAGCAGAGTTATTCGTCTCTCTGTCAGCCTAGTGTCACAAATCAATGTGAGGATATTGCTGAACCAATTTCAATTAATATTTCATGAAGGAACTTGGGTGGATCCTCCAAAGATTGACAATAAATGGTTAAGCAATCCAATAAATTTTATTTCCTTAATGCTCTGAATGAGAACTCAACTGAATGAAGAAAGGTATGTAGCAAATACATAAAGTTTGTAAGAAATAAAAATGAATTTTAATACCATACTTAGCATGAGTACCTTTGCATTGGACAAATGGTTTGTGTGCTATGCCTCAAATTACTGGAAAAGTGGCACTTAATGATTATTTTTTAAGCCCATCAATGTTGGATAACTTTGCTAGTACATAATATCTCAGTCTGCTGAGTGGCTGGAGAATTACCAATGAGCTGTATATTTACGTAGCTGATTCAAAGAAATCACCAAATGATGCTAAACATCTACAAATAATTGACAGTAAACATGTGCTACAATTTCCAAAACTTTAGCTTCAAAAACCTGTTAAACATTTCTCATTTACTGAGGGAAAAAAAATTAGGTTCTTCAATAAAGGCTTATGACAATTAACAGAAAAGATCATGCTTTAAAATTAAGAAAAAGCATGAAACTCTTAGTTTCTGTGCTATAACCAAGCTTACAAGATATTGAAGAGCCATGTATTTTGGCTTCTGAATATATGGATCAGTTGGTTTCAAAATTTACCCATATTTACAACAAAGCACACAATAAATATTCTTTCACGATCTCTATAACTTCACAAACTAACCTGTTGAATAAAGGACTGACTTTGAACTGCTCCTGGACCAGTTTTTTATTCTTCCACTTCTGACAAGTTCTGCATTATCTAGTTCTTTGGATGTAGGGATTTCCTGAGAATTTGGGGAAGTGGGTCTTTTGTGAGGAGATGGGCTCCTTGTTCTTGGAGGGCAGGTTTTCAAGTTTTGGTTCATGGTAATATCATTATCTTTGTCGATGACGTTCCAATCTACTTCTTGTCCAGAAAAGCTCGAAGGACTGGTGTGAAGGGTGTTCTCTGACTGTAGTAAGCCTGAACCATCCTCCTGTCCAGATTCGCCTGACATAGTCTTAGCCAAGATTTCTTGTGTTTCTCTCTCCATCTGACGAATATCTTCCATTGTTAGACCTACCCACTCATCCTGCCACACCCAGGCCTGCTTGTGTGCCCTCAACATAGTTTTTCTCAGAGCTAGAAGAGATGAAGCAGGGCTAACATAAAATAAGTGAGGAAGTCTTATAAACATCCAAGAGCAAATCTATATAAAAATCCTATAGAACTGATCACAATATCTCAATTTATAAGACGAAGAGCATGTGCTCTGGAAACATCTTCAAAAAACCAATAGCCACAAATATTAAAGCTCTGAAATTCAAAATACAAGTATAATCAAGTCTGACAGTCTTTCCCGTTAAAATGTACTATTGTTCATTTTTAAGTTTTTCAAGTAACTCTTCACACAATTCAAATTTAATCAAAGGTATTTGTCATTCGAGGGTAAACATAACGTCTAGTGATCGATAAAACAAGTTAATCCTTGAAACTAGCATTACAGATACCTTGGATTTAGAAAATATTTAACAAAACTCTCCACAGAATGGTCACTTTCACAATGTTCTTTCTGTCAAATAAAAAGTAAAACAAGTTGATCATAATGGGAAGAAAAAGGTTTTTTTGCTATCAGTAATTACTACTTGTGTTTGACATTAATAACAGTAGCAACGTGGTTCCAAAAATCAGCAATAAGATAAGTTAAAAATGTCGAGTCTAGTCTTCAGACAGAAAAAAAAAGTGAGATAAACAACAGAAATGTTATAATCAGAGCCAGTATTAGTTTGGTTTTTAAGGTATGTTTGATTCTTTCTTACCTTTTTTTGAGTAGATGTACATTTCAACATTGCTGGCTTAAACCTGTAACTTCCTTTTTGTGCATGACATAAAAAAATAACTCCTTTACACTAAGTAAAATTTAAAATTTTTTTCCCAAAAAATATTTGGTAATTGCATAACTTGTTTAGTCCAAAACGAAAAAAGGATATTCATTTTACATATTTCGACAAATATAAATGACAAACAGAAAACTCAGATATTTTTTTACAACTGGATTATAATGAACGAAACAACTACAATGCTTACTGTTATGAAAGCTGGTTCACTTTCTAAACACTACAGTATGCATACCCTCAAGATGTAGAGAACACCCACCTTTAATTTTTTTTAATCCTATTCATTCCCTCTCACCGGTAAAGGATGAATTAAATTAAACATATACTGTTCGTTATTTTTAACTTAAAGGCTATTTTCCTAAATGTGCTGCATACACAAATTTGATATCAGAGACTCTAAAAGGTGGGAGAGGGGAATGATCCAGGGGGGGACCTTTATTCTTCAAGGGTAATTCACGGCTTTCCATCTTAGGAATTTATTTAGCTACATTTTACTGGCTACAGCAAATTCACTTAATCATCTAACTTCCATATTTTTTTTTTTTGTGATTTTGTTAACGGAATTAGGAGAATATCACTGAAAAAAATCCCCCCAAAAAAAACCAACTTTCTTTTCCTTAGAATTGCCTAATACAAAAAGGAAATTCATTTTACAAATGTGAATGACAAACAGAAAACACGTATATTTTTTACAATTGGTCAGATTTTAATGAATGCTACAACTACTACTTGCCTACATCATGAATAAACTTCTCGATCTTACTCTGCATTCCCCAGTACTTGAATTCAACTCGACACAGTTTATATGCACACATGATGGCCTTTTTATCGGGAAGAGGAGTTTCTTTATCCTTACAGGCATCCCAGTATTCTCTGACCCAAGTTTCCGAAAGTGGGCCTCGTTCTGTAAGCTGGGAAACATAATACTTGGGATCTTCTTCTCGTTTATAGTCTGACCCGTAAAGCTGATCTTTTACGACATCAATATAATCTGAAAATACACAGGAAAGCTTCATATTACACTTGAGTGTAATTAGATGTTTTATGAGTAAGAATAAAGTTTTTTTTTTAAACCAGACAACCATAATACAAAATAAACTTAAATAATATTCACTATTAACTATATAGTTTATACCTTCTAAACCTACAGTTAATATTGTATAAGACACTACACTTGATGAATTAAAACATGGTTTTGAGTATAAATGGTGAACAAAAACAAGGTAAAAAAAATAGTGGTACAGTTGCATAAAATAATCACTTTATAGAGTATCATTTGTCTGTATGGGAGTGTCTAGTTGAAAACAAAACGGGAGTTGGTAGCATACTAAACAATCAAATGTGTATGAATTATCTCACCAACAGCATGGATGGCTAAAACAAGTTCCCATGACAACAAGCCGCCCAACATTTTAGATTTGTGCTAAGTTTACTAATTATATCTTGGTGTTTTACTTAATGCCTTACAAAGAATTTAGCTTTGTGTAATAGTATTTGATGTGTGTCATTAGAAATACTTTTAGTAGACTTCTTTTATTAAATATCAGTCGCATCTGAGTGAAAACAGGTATAGAACGATTTAATAGTCTCATTTAAATAATTCTCTTCGTTACGCATTTATAAATAAAACAGTTCAAAAGGTAATATATATTTTGCATAATTTACAAAACAGTGTTCACTTTGAAGGTATCACTATGATTAAGGTTTGTTTGATTGTTTGTTTATTTTGAATTTTGCGCAAAGTTACATGAGGGCTATCTGCGCTAGCCATCCCTAATTTAGCAGTGTAAGACTAGAATGAAGGCAGCTAGTCATCACCACCCACCACCAACTCTTGGGCTACTCTTTTACCAACGAATAGTTGGATTGACCGTCACATTATAATGCCCTCACAGCTGACGGGGATTTGAACCTGCGACCCACAGATTGCGAGTCGAGCTCCCTAACCACCTGGCCATGCCGAGCCCTATGATTAAGATAATTTAGAAACCATCTTTATGATATTGCTGGCGATATCAATTACACACTTCAGAAAATAATTTTCCTAAATGATGGTGACAGGTCACAGGTTTTTCACTCTGAACGTCAGATGATTGGATATATTTATCAATCTGTTCATCAGCGCAAGTAATGAGTGATAACACAAAATTGGCTCACCAATGACTCTGCTGCGTGCATCAGCAGAGGAGAGATTAAAAACATTTTCCTGATGTCCTGCATCATTAAAGTACTTGGTTTCAATCTCCACAAAGAACTTCTCCACAAACGGACACGTGTAGCGGGTCTTGGTATAAGGATAGGCATTCCATGCTTCTTCCTCAACTGTCAAGGCAGACTTCGGTAGCAAAGCTTTTAGCCAACCTGGGAGGAGGAAAAGAAACAAAAAGACTATTAGTTAATCAAGATATTGCTGGGAAACCTAACATATAAAGATATCAGTGCCAAAAAGACGCGTCTTTTGCTACCCCACAACGTATATTTCTGAAAACACACACACAGATGTATACTTTATATTTATTTATCTATAAACATATATATATATATATAATATAATTCCAGGTTTTCCTTCAAGATGAATATATCTATAACAAAACTTCAGTAAATTCTTAGAGAAAGTATACCCTCAGTAACTTTGAAGAAACATCAGTGTTACTCGGGAGAAACGTTTACACTGAAGGTTAGTCTGTGATGCTACAAAACTGGTTTAATAAAGAACATTTTAAGAAATAAGGAAGGATTGTAGTTTTGTTATGCATATATAAACAAAACAAAAATGTACAAAGTCATTTCTTATGTACACATACTGCAGGCAAGCATATAACCAGTCTCTTACAACAAAGCAGATAATGCTGTGGATAGCAAAGTATGGAAAATGAAAAAATAAATACTTGTTTAATAACAGCACTGGTGGGTGTTAAATACATTATTAAACTGGACCAAGCTTGGTTATAAGAAAGCAGTAAAATTATTTCAGCCTTTGACGTATTGTAGAATTTACACATAAATCACAAATGAGTGTAATACAAAACAGGCTTACCAACGATACTGTTTCGACGTACCACGTGCGTCCTTTTCAAACTAGTCGAGGTAATCATCTTCATATTTTTGTAAATCTGTTCTTCGTTACTTAATTTGTGCTTATAAAGCTGCTAATCTTTACAACATCTTTAACCAAGTGCTTTTGGAATGCAGAACCTTCTTCTTTCAGGGTTGAATTACTGAGGTTAAGAAAATGGTAGGTATACCTTCTTTCAGGGTTGAATTACTGAGGTTAAGAAAATGGTAGGTATACCTTCTTTCAGTGTTGAATTACTGAGGTTAAGAAAATGGTAGGTATACCTTCTTTCGGGGTTGAATTACTGAGGTTAAGAAAATGGTAAGTATACCTTCTTTCGGGGTTGAATTACTGAGGTTAAGAAAATGGTAAGTATACCTTCTTTCGGGGTTGAATTACTGAGGTTATGAAAATGGTAAGTATACCTTCTTTCAGGGTTGAATTACTGAGGTTAAGAAAATGGTAGGTATACCTTCTTTCAGGGTTGAATTACCGAGGTTATGAAAATGGTAAGTATACCTTCTTTCAGGGTTGAATTACCGAGGTTATGAAAATGGTAAGTATACCTTCTTTCAGGGTTGAATTACCGAGGTTAAGAAAATGGTAAGCAGACCTTCTTTCAGGGTTGAATTACTGAGGTTAAGAAAATGGTAAGCAGACCTTCTTTCAGGGGTGTGTTAAGCTTGATGAGTTTTTTTAAGTGTACAGCAACACAATAGGCTATCTGCACTCTGTTCATTGTGGGGAACTGAATACCAGATTTTAGCATAGTAAGACCATAAACTTACTTCTGATCCACTGGGGGACGAGTAGGTTGAGAAAATGGTAAGTAGACAGTCTTCTTTCATGGGTGAATTAAACGGGTTGAGAAAATGATTAACAGACCTTCTTTTAAGGGGGAATTTAGCAGGTTGAGAAAAATGGTAATCATATATTTTTTAGGGTTGTGTTAAGCAGGTTGAGAAATTGGGTATTTTTTTAGGGTTAAGAGAATTGAGAAAATGGTAGATAGACCTTTTTTTCAGGAGTATGTTAATTGGTTTGAGAAAGTATTAAGATAAACTGATAAAACAAAAACACGTGTAAGACTTTTAATTTTATATATAGATGTATACAAGTAAAACAAAATGCCCATTGTTCAGAATTTTCATACAGATGTTTTTTTTTTAAGAAAAAAAGCAGGGAGGAAAGTCAAGGAGCTGGAAGTGGTGTGGAGTTTCTGGTGAACAAACCTTATGCAGATGGCCCTGGTGGGAGTGGACAGTACACCCACAAAGTTTATCACATTGGAAGCCATTTACCAGGTGAGCTTGGCTTCTCACACCGACCTAGTTATATAACTAAACTATCAAGAGCTTTGAAGGAAAATCTGTAGAATGTTCAGTAGATTTGTATCGATAATATGCAAGTATAAAAAACACAAATAATATTTCCCATTCTCACCAGTCTTTCGTATAGTCTTCCTTACTTTGTAAATGTTTTTGTTAGTTTGTATCCTATTTTTCACATTTTTTAGTAATTTATTTAATAAAACAAAATGCCCATTATTCAGAACATACATATATAGATGTATATAAATAAAACAAAATGCCCTTTGTTCAAGACATACATTTATATACATCCATATGTATGTTCTGAATAATGGGCATTTTGTTTATATACATCTATATGTATGTCTTGAACAAAGGGCATTTTGTTTTATTTATACACATCTATATGTATATTCTGAATAATGGGCATTTTGTTTTATTCATATACATCCATATGTATGTTCTGAATAATGGGCATTTTGTTTTATTTATATACATCCATATGTATGTCCTGAACAAAGGGCATTTTGTTTTATTTATATACATCCATATGTATGTCCTGAACAAAGAGCATTTTGTTTTATTTATATACATCCATATGTATGTTCTGAATAATGGGCATTTTGTTTTATTTATATACATCTACATTTTATACACATAGGTTAAAATTTTAATATTTTATTGTGAATTTTGGTAAAACTTTACACCTGCATGTGTTAGCTACTCCCTTAGTTAATGTATAAACTTTTCCTGACTTGTTTGTTTTGGAGATTCTCCCAAAGCTTCATGAGAGCCATCAGCCCTAGAGCACCAACCATCAGCTCTTGGTCTACTCTGATTGAACAGTGAGGTATGACTGTCACAACGGGATGCAAACCACGGACATTCAGATTCACAGTCTGGCATACTAGCCACTAGGCCATGTCCAAAACCCCTATTTCATGGGAGTTGATACAGTACTTATTCAGATGAAAGTATCTGAATAGTAACTGAATGCTGGAATTAGTTTATTAGCTGGAAAAGAATGTAGAGCAACAAAAGGGAGTGTATTAAGAAAGTCTATCCCACAACTTACAAAAGCACCGAATATTATTGAAATTAAAACATACACACAATTAACTGTTTAAACCTTTATAGTCTTTTTTTTTTAAAACAACATCCAACAAAAAATTGAAAAATTATCTCAAAAAAATTTATATTTATTCTGGAGAAAAGAAAAGGAGATAGGCTAAGGCTCTTTATTTGCTGTCATATTAAAGACATTACCAAGAAAATACGAAACTTGAAAAAAAGGAAGTAAATTTCCACAAAAATTATACAGTAGGATAAGATATACATTACAAGATAAAAAAAAAGTTTAAAATTATGCTCAACTGCAAAATATAATTAAAATTTATGTAAAATAATAATTTCAATAAATATAATTTATGACACTAGGTGGCGAAACAGACAGCAGAATACGCCAAGAAATTTTCTCTGTATATATTTGTAAACTTGCAATAACGGGCTATCCGTACTGTGCCCACCTGGGTTCGAGCTCTGAATTTAAACTGTTATAAACCTGAGCTTGCAGCT